TTGTTCGATGGGCTGAATTGCACAAAACGCATGATCGCACCGGCTAGTCTGGTGCGCGTTGCTATTATTCATCTTTGCGTAGAACAGTTGAATTTCTTACATCTGATTGAGCGGCACATACGTTTGGCACTGAATCAATATCCACTGATATGAGCTTTGTGGTATACCGAATGAAAGTCACCGTCAGGAGACGGTGATCTCAGGGGTCTGATTTTCAGATTGAGAGAAGACCGTGGCTATTGTCATGTTCAGCAGTAACCAATAATTGGCCAACGCATGGGCTGCCCATGCGAAGATGCGTTTTTTGCATAGTTCCCTGCAGTTTTTGTTGCTACCGGCACCGACTTTTTTAGCAAATGCTTCTAGCTAAACAAATTGAGACTGGCCGCCAGAACTATCAGAAAACACCCCCCTAAAATTTCAGCTTTTTAGCTTCCCTGGCTTCTGAGTTAGCAACTTACTGAAAAAAAAAAATTTTCGCAAGCCCGTGCGTGTTTATCACGCATACCCGAGAGTTGGGTTTGAGCTAAATGAAAATTAGGTGGACGGGGTATATCCTCTTGAAATTACAGTCCTTTAGCTTCTCAGTTACTTGGGTTATCAACTTACCCGAAAAAAATTTTGGTGGGCCCGTATGTGGGTACCACGCTTACCCAGGCGCTGGATTTGAGCCCACTAATACCCAGTTGGGCGGGAAGCAATCCCCTAATATTTCATCTTTCTAGCTTCTCAGATCCCCGAATTACGAACTTACCCGAAAAAAATTGTGGCGGGCCCGTACGCGGGTACCACGCGGGTAATGGCGTCCATTTTGGGGACTGGGACCCGTATGTGCATGTAGATTAAGTTCCCAAAGTTTCAGCTCTGTAGCTTTTGTAGATCTTGAGATGAAAAACCGTGAAAGACGCACACACAGACACACACAGACAACCCCTCGTCAATATGTGTTTTCTGCATTGCATAGCTGCAAAAAACGCACAAAAATTAGCAAAAAATTGTAATAAGTTTGTTAAAATTTCAGGAGGATTTAAAACCTTCAGCACCATTTAAGCGCATGCGATATCATAAGGCAGAGCGCTTGTATGGAACCGACAAACCAGATCTTCGAATTCAGTGGACAATTGAGGACTGTAGTTTTGAACTTCCGTTCCTGAATAAACGAGGTGTATCAGATTTTGTTGTGAAGGTATTCATTGCTAAAGATGCGGCTTATGTTGCTGATTGCAGCAGAGTAAGTGAATGGGCCAAGATTCTACAAAACAGTAAATTGTTACAGGTTCGTGCTGCTTACCACTAAATACGAAAGACTGCATTTTATATTCGTGGACAGTTTCTCTAATGCTTTTCGTGTTATTTTATTTTGCGTTTTGTGCTGCAACAGCTGCACGAAGCGTACATATGTGTGTTTGTATGTGTGTGTGTGTGTGTGTGTGTGTGTGTGTGTGTGTGTTCAGCGTGCGTTTTATCCCAGGTTTCAATTCGAAAACCAGAGAAACTAAAAAGTTGAAATTTTAAAGAGGGGCCCCTACCCGCGTGTGATCTTACGAACTCAAATTTAGCGTCTGCGTGTGCCTCGATTTTATGTACAGTCACATGAAAGTCTTGAGGCTTAAGTTGATAACTTGGTAAGCACAAAAGCTAGGAAGCTGTAATTTTGAGAGAATGTCCCGTGTCCGCATATGGTCCTGCAAAACAAATTCAGCCTCTTGCAAGCCTAGATCCCACATGGGGACATGTGGAATTTTTGACGCCAGTATTAATAACTCAGGAACCGTGAAAGCAATAAAGTTGAAGTTTTGGGAGGTCATGATCAACCAAATTCAAATTCGGCCCCGCGCATGCTTTGATTTTTACGTATCAAATGGCAATGCAGTGTACACTTTTAACAGCAAGATTCTCTATGGGGATGCAGAAGCGTCTGCCTGACAGGATTGCACAATTGTTTTCTGGACAGGGTTGCACAAAACGCATGGTCGCACAAGCCATTCTGATGCGTGCCGCTTTTATTTCTATCTCTACCAAACTCTGACGAATTGTTCCTTCTGAACGTGTGTTTTAGGACTTCAAGATACTAAGGACATCGGACAAGAACTGGTTCAAGGAGGTTAAAAATGACCGTTTAATTGAAAAATTCGGAGTCAAGGAAACCGATGTT